AATTCATTTCAATAGCATTCTTACATCACTTCCACTGCATAACTCTTACAGTTAGTTGATCGGCAGGTTGTGTGCGGTGGGGTGGAGTGTGGGCACTCCCACCTCTTCCAGGACATCTGGCCAGTGTGGAACAGTCGACCAAAATACCCTCCAGAAGTGTTCTCTCGAGTGGAGGCCATGCTGCCAGCAGTGGCATGAACACGTTCGATTAGCACCGTTGGCTACGTATGGTTCAAAATAAGTTCAACGAGCATTTGCAGGGCTTCACCTTTACCTTTGGGTTATGGAATCCACTAATGTATTACGTATTTTGTTTTTTTATTAATTGGAACTTATAACACCACCCTGGTTTCAGGGTTCAGCGGTGAGCACGGAACAAAATTATTGCACAGCTCACAATACCTTTGCAATGGGTTTCAAGAAGGAATGGTGACTTGATGAAATAATTGTCACCCAGGGCTATACCGACCAAGGAAAGTACATTATTGCCGCTGGTGAAGTTTGCTGCTTGCTTTGTTGCCCTTGTCTATGTACTTCCCGGTGAGCCTTTGGGTGCTGAGTGAACAAATGTCACACACAGTCCTGGGTACTTTGACTTCAGGGTGTCTGAGCACGACTCTGCAGAAGCATCACAGCACACTCACCTTGCCTGTCCTGCATTTTCAGTTGCTGTTGCGATTGAACATCTGCCCAACTTACACTGTTATTCCTATACCGTACCGTGCTGCCTGTACACAGCTGAAACCGACTTCTCATACGCATGTTGCAGAATTTGACTCCAAATGTTGTCAGACCGTTATTAACACGCACACGCACACACACAAGTACTCTGCAGGAGGATTGCCGCAGGCAGCAGCGCATGGCCATTGCATGAAGAAATTCGCAGCCTGAAGCCCCAAACCAAAAAAACTGCATCTGGCTATGTCAATTTGTTACAAAATCTCACTAAATTTCGATTTAAAGCTTTCGTGACTGCAATGATTCATCTTCTTTGGTTCTTGTGTTGTGGCCGAAACGTCGTGAGAATATTATTGTGTTATTTTATTTTATCAATTTATTATTTTATTCTCATTCTACGTGACTTTACCGAAAGAACCAAAGAAGAAAAATCTCACTAGACCAACAACCCTGCCTTTACTGATATAGGGTACTATTTATTATGTTGTTTTCCCATCAGTTGCAGTCGATATGCACGTGCATTTAACATGTTTACCACTGTACTGTATTAGATATGTCCTACGTATAGTCCTTTATTTATAGCCTTGTGCGAGCCCGTTCAAATAAAAAATCTAAATGTTAACAAAGATTGGCAAATGGTTGAAATCCGAGGTAAATAGGTGCTCTCACTGAAGGTTTCCAGGTGGTTCTCAGAGGTCAGTGTGCTGTGCCGGTACCATTAAGATCAACTCCGTGTGTCAGCCATCCTAGGATTTAACCGGTTCTCAAGCAATCACGTAAAATTTTATCGAAATATTTTACTTAATTTGGCTCAATTCCAGCTCTGAAAATATCAGTCTAATTGTCACGCGGCAAACACCCACCGCAGAGAAGTGTTATGGGAAGATATGCACCCGACTGTGTAAATGATTGGATACACAAGGGTCACACTGCTCTGCAATATGTCCAAATGGATTCACTGCCACAGCACAAGACATCGATAGCACACTGGAATGTAAAATTGTGGAAAAGTTCCAATAATAAAAAGCATAAAAAAAATTTTGAATATTTTTTTCCATAGCATGTGTTTATAAGGACATTCATTTGAGTGGGTTTAGAAAGTTTATTCGATCAGCTGGGTTGGTGATTCAGTACGTTTAATTAGGAACTAAATAGTTTTTTGGAGCAGAGAGAATACATATACTGTAAATGTGTTCCCGACCTCTTGGAAGTTTTCTTAAAATATTTTACTTATTTATTTTATGAGTTACCCAATCTTTATCAGCAATGAAATAACAATATATAATATTAACAATGAAATAACAATATATAATATTAACAATGAAAACACAGTGGATAATATTAACAATGAAATAACAATATATAATATTAACAATGAAATAACAATATATAATATTAACAATGAAATAACAATATATAATATTAGCAATGAAATAACAATACATAATATTAACAATGAAATAACAATACATAATATTAACAATGAAATAAATAGCTACAGAACAAAATACACTGAAATGAAATGGTTTAGATTTAAGACAATGTGAAGAAATGTGAAACTTTAGTTCATGCAGTGATATAAACATTAGTCATGTTTGTACTTGTAATTTAAATGTATTTTCTTTGAGATATTTGCACTTTTTCCCCATCCGTGCCCCAGGACTGTTTTGTATGCTACATCTACCGGAGAAAATTAGATATTATTTTAGTTTTTCAATAAAAAAAAAACTAATTGCAATAAACTCAGAAAAAACTACCACTGCATTTTATATGCCATTAAATTATAAAGTTTAAAACTGTATAATGATGTGGAATGCAATAAAACAGTTCCTGAATAAATGCTTACGGTACACAACTTTATCTGCACTTTGCATTTAAAATATTCGCAATATAAAAAACTATAATTACAGTACATTAATATAATTCGCAATTTAGCAAAATGCCTATGACGAAAACTTCCATGATACACCGATGCCATCATATTTCAGAAACTAAGCAGGATTTAACTGGGATAATGCTTGAATGGGTGACCACCATGTATAAAAAGACTAGTGTCGTTAGAGTCGTGGGCATTAGAGTGCAGTGCAGCCAAATACATTGTGGCTCTGAACTCCCACCACCTTTGCACTGCACTGACCACGCCAGGCACAGGGGAAGCCCTCATTCAGCAGTGGATTTACAAAACGGGCTGTACACACGTAATACGTGCTCGAGCGTAATACTGTCACACATAAGTTAATATATAATGTCAGCGATATTGGCTTTTCTTGATAAGTAGAATCACTCCAGCACGTCGAACTCTAGCAGCTACGTTGTGTGCTTTGCCAAAACATAACTTCATTAAGCTTGCTACACCTTGCCAGCACTCGGCGGCTCTCTTAAATTATTATACATCCGTAAATAATGGGGGGCTGTAATGAGGATATAATAGATTGTGCCGGCAATGGGAATAAGGTAGGATGTGAATTGAATAATTATAACCTAACAACGTCCCAAAGGTAATTAGATAATTGGTAACAAGCTGCAGGTCAGTCAGGAACACAACATAGCATCCTGATTGAGGTGCCATTGCCGTTTATTATTGAATGTTGTGTTTCTAACCAACCTCAGGCCATGTAGGTATAGTTTAATCCCCTCTATACTGTGCACGTGATTTGCTCGCCTGACCTGTTCCCATGCTGCCTGCCCTTAGTGCAGGTTCACCTTGATGTTTATTGGGAATAAGTCTTAACTATACTGTTTGGTTCTATTCGGTAAAGTCACGTAGGTAAAAAATAAAACAACAAAAATCACGACGTTTCGGCCACAACACAAGCGGCCTTCATCAGGTGAAGGGATCAGGCTGTCTCGAGGACAGCGCTGGAGTGAAACACAGCCACGCTCAGACCGCGGACCTTTAAGCTGTGTGCGAGCAAACAAGGTGTCCTGACAAAGAAATTAGCATAAAAATTAGCATTTGATTGGTCGATTTTAGAAAAGAGGTGGTGTACGTGCCGGTGGACTTGCCGTTTGGCGCGGGGGGGGGGGTGGAGTTTACCTATTGATGGTGTGAAAAGGGAATTTATAAGAGCTGCGAAAGTTTGGGGTACCACTACTTGAAAAATATACTGTACCATTGAAGATTAGTTGATTGTTTGGTTCGATTTAGAACGTGACTTTACCGAATAGAACCAAAGAGTATGGATCCTTGCAGTCACGAAAGCTTTAAATCTAGAAATGAATAAATAAGTCTTAATTTAGGCAATGTGATTATCTCACAGCGACGAAATCTCAATACAGTCAATAGAAGATAGAATTATACAATAGCTCCAGAGTAGCAGTTACATTTGGCTGGTATTGCATTGAGCAAATGATAGGTGTATATACTGTATATCAGGGGTCCCCAAACCCCGGGCCACGGACCGATAGCGGTCCGTGGCCTGTTAGGAACCGGGCCGCACAGCAGGAGGTGAGAGCGGTGAGTCCACGCGTGGCCCGCCCATTATTTTATTATTTACCACTTCCGTCCGCGCCTCTTTCCCGCACTGCGCACTTGTCTCAGTCTCAGTGTTGGTAAGCCCACAAGCTAACCCCGAGTAGCCAACATGAGTAAAAAAAACAAACGTCGCTGGAGAGCTTCTTTGAAAAGGGGGAAAGGCCCAATGATGAACCCCCTCCCCCCCCCCCGTCCGTGAAAAAAAATTGTCTTCCACAAAACCGGTCCCTGGTGCCAAAAAGGTTGGGGACCGCTGCTGTATATAATACATTTTTATTATGGAATCCCATATGTTGATCCCCTCTAATGTTAAGCACACTAGACATGCAATTCAGAGGTCACGATATTGATGATCTCCTGTTGCAGCAGATGAAATAATGGGCAAGTTTCTTACATATCCCCGCTTAAGGTTCACCCAGCAATATAGTCAATCAGCGTTTTGCTTGTGGTCAGGTAAAGTGTGAGTTCTCGCACCTCTTGCAAAATATCTGGCCAGCCGGGAAGGGTAGACCAAAATACCCTCGAGAGAGAGAGAGAGTTATCTCGGGCTCTCTCGAGTTCCCTATAGTGGAGGCTCCTTCTGCTAACAGTGGCATGAGCAAGGGCTGCCCCTTTACCTTTTAATAACGGAATCCACTAAAGTATTAAAGTTCATTGGTGTTTAGAAAAGTTGACAAATAATTAGCCTTTTCGCATCGTCATACCGTGATTTAATAAAATCTTGATGTTCTTACAGCTCACGGTGAATATGTTTACCTTGTATGGTGCACAATTTCCAGTGAAAATGTCTACTTTCTATATATTTTTGCTGTAAATGTAATAGAGCCGTTTTTTTATTTCATTTCAGGAGACGGAGTGTCTGGATATCACCAGCATCAGGGATACACGCACAGGAAAATCCGCACGGACTCCAAAGGTAAGATGTGCTAAATTCAAGGGCAGATAACTGCCCTTGTCCTCACTTGTCATGCCTTCTCCCCAGCCCACAAGAAGCAAATGGCATGCTGACAACCAGCGCTTAATTCCCCCTGGAACATTCTGGAACACTATTGCGGAATTATTTTAGCACGCCATATCCATTTCATTGGATTATAGAAATACAGGGTACAATAATTTAGGATATTACATTCCAATAATATAGGATATTATTAATATAGGATATTATTGTATGGATCGGTGTACCTTACACTGTGGTGGTAATGCCTCATGTCGATAATTCATACTCCAAGGCAGCCTAGCAGTGATCCAGAAAATATTGAGTAACATTAATCCCTGCTGACCATAACTTGTGGTAAAAAAGTGGTAAAAAATATAGATTCCAATATTTATTTACTTATACAGTATATGAAATGTTTGCCTATTTATTTTCTGAAGTTTTTATTTTTACTTTTTGGACAATTCATACACTCACTCAACCAATTCAATTGCTTTCATTGAGAAGCAAGTTGGAGCGCATTGAGATGAAGGTTACTTGTAAGGTAGACCTAGGGGAAAATGCAGAGAGACAACATTAACAGTACACAAATGTATTGCAGAAAACAAAACACAAATGTCAATAAAACAAAGTGAGCACACGTACATCTAAAGAGTAATAAGGTTTCTGTCAAGATTAACACCTCGTATTTAGGAATTGTGACATAAATGTGACGCGTTCTTAATTTGTTCTTAATTTGCATCGGCCAGAGAAGTTGTGCCCATGTTGTTCTGCATAGGATGAGTTTGGGACAGACCAGGTCACAATAAGTCACTGGAAAAGCATCCTCATGTCATGTGCTGCATATATGCCTTATTACAGCTTTAGCAATATTGACTTATTACAGGTCAGCAATCTAGCAATATTTAAAGATTCTCTTTTCACCACTAACTAATTTGCAAATACTCCTTAATGATAGCAATTACGAACACAGAATGTATACATACAGTACATGTACTCACAAAATTACACAATGCAGGCTTAAATTAGATATTTTCTTTATATATTTAATATTTTTGCCATTACATCGACATCATTAAAAGATTACAGCACTATTTTTATTATACATTTTTCATGGGAATTATTACATTGTTACAGTATTTGTAGACACAATGCTTTCAGTGTTGCATTTTTATCAAAGGAATGCCAAGGAACGGTTTTTCTCTGGTTTTAAACGTGCTTGAAAATGTATACCTTTTATTTACTTTGCCTGATTGGCTCAGACCTGGACCTATAGGAGGAGGCAGTGCACATTCCTCCTTACTGTCCTTCAATTCATTAATATTTGGGTAAAGCCACGTGGCAACATTGCCCCCTTCGAGCAGGCTAATGCCCACTTGCTGCTTTCACCTTGATCCGCATAGGGACAGCTGCCATTCAGGGGGGTCCCATCGGAGAAAAAAAAACCCCTGCCCTAAAATATTGACGACGTTATGAGCACGTCATAAATGCCAGTGTGCCGTTGTTTGCCGTTCTAAGTTTAGTGTCTAAAATAGGATTATGAAGAAACGCATCGCCCATCTTTATCACATGTTGCTGTAAATGTTCGCCTGTATGTAACATTAAAACACTATAGCGGGTGACAGTTTTATAATGCAATTGCATTCCTGTGTTTAAAAATACCTTCTGCTTCAACAGTTAATCATGAAGCCAACTCTCTTTTTAAGTCACTCCAATTATTAATAGCAAAGACCGAAAAGAGAAATGGTGCTCTTTGCATATAATGCTAACATCTCTTCCACACGCTGGATAATGTAGCCACATCTGCTAAGACGGAAGAGGCTACATTGTTCCATGCAGTTAAACTTGGACCTGTACACCGGCTGGAATGACTCCAAATGACAGCCAACTTTATATTCTTTCTTTGACCAAAACGTAATGTTTACCCTGACCATAATAACATTCCTCTAAGACTTTGCATAAACTATATGGATGTGTTGGATTTAAGCATATCTTGCCAGAATGTGAATAGTCTCAAAACTGTCAACAGTAACATTGTGAAACATTGTAAACAGTTTGTTTTTGTTTTGTGCTTTTTATATTTAAATGAATTTGTTTTTAGTTAAATACATTTTCATGGAACAAAAATCTCTTGATGTAGTGCCTACCAGTAAAATGTATATTGAACGTGCACTCTGAAACTTGTGATTACTAAAAAAAATACTATCATCATCATCAGTCACGTTCTATCCACTACTGGATGATGGCCTCCCTATGACCGCACGATCCCATCTTCTACATATATGCTCCTCATAGTTGCTCCATCTCTGGGGCCCATTGTCCATCAACCCTTTCTTGAAATGTATCTTGCCCAAGCCAACATTTCCTAACAGTTGAAATGATATCTCAAACTTGCAGTTATTATCAGATTCATGTGTAGCATTTTCTTTCTGTCAGTGTATTGTCCAGTAGCTATCTCTCCCTGCTTTTTCTAGACTTTCAGATTTTGTGCCGTTTTCTCTATAAGTTTTAATGTATCCAATCCACGTGTGTAGTTTGTTGTCCTTCCCCCACACCTCCGATTAGCACAGTTGACTACGTACAGTGCGAAATAAGTTCAACATGCATGCATATATACATATCAGGTGATAGTCACTGATTGAAAACTCTCTGCTTTGGGCACATTGGTTTGTTGTTTTCATTAAGAAATTGCAATTTTCCAGAAACACTTTCAACTGCTCTCTCACACTCAATTAAACACATTTTATACAATGGTCAAGCGGGATGGTATGGAATATTCACTTGTCTTTGGTGAGAATCATAATGATGATATGTAATTTGTTCAATTGTAGAAAAATATTTACTAAATCTAGCATGTTAGCATGGTGGGTCGGCCTCTTTATTGTCAATTGTTTGTTTCTCTGATAAGGGGGGAATGCATCTGCTGGGATTCTTGTATCAGTTTTGTCTACTGTGTTTTTTTAAAGGCGTTTAGGAAACCATCCAAGATTGAATTAATTCCTGTGTTCATTTGTAACACACACACAGATTATAAACAAATAAAAATGACATTGTACTCAGAGAGGAAAATAAAAATAAGTGTGATACAGAAATGGAAGCATCACTTTGTGTCGCTGCACAGGAGGTGTGTAGTTATTGTTTTTTCCAAAAAGGCAATGTTCCAGTTTACAGTAGTATCCACAGGTATTATACAACATATCACCTAGCAACTACTCTCTGGGGCTTCAATTTCCGTGGTGTTCCATAGGTGACAGTTTTAAACTGTTAGCTATTTTGTAAAATTTAGCCTATTTTTGCAATAAAAAAATAGAAATTGCAAAAAAAGAGATTTCATATTTTCACTAAATGAGCACAATACCATGTTGGTTCCTTCACAGAAGAACTCGTAATACTACTGTTACATATAATAAACCCATTATATTCATTTGCTTCGTGATTAATTGTAAATGATGGTTTTAACGACGTCCATTTCACTCGGCATTAGTTACAGTGTTTAAGGTGACGCGAAAACACTTAACAGGGGGATCCAGGGCGAGATAGGGGCTGCCGTCTCCCAACCCGTATTGCCATATGCAAGAATAAAAATAAACATAACATTGGCATAATGCTTCGTTTTCACGTGAAACCGAGAGCGTATTTACACCAGAACCTTTGCACGAGTAACACAATTAACGCATAAAATGAGGGTGATCTTGCGCGAGGTTTTTTTTTTATTCACGGCATTGTCATACCGGCACGACGTCTCGTAAGCACCTTCAGCCCCAATCCCACGCAGGTCACGGGGAGCGTGAGCAGCACCGTGAAATGTGCGGTGTGCGTGCTGTAATAATGGCCAACGGCTTGGGGAATCGTCCTCCAGGTGCGACAGCAGCCTCCAGGGATTCCGCACACTTGCCTCGCCGACGATGTCCATAAACGAGATGAAATTGCATATCCTAACGCACGGTATTTGTTTTCCCAAACAACGCTGTTGATGAAATGCAAGGCTTTATATCGCTTCATATTCTTCACCGCCGATCAGATCAGCCGTGATCAATCAACTTGCCTTCCTGAGCTGTCGGCATCTCCCACCATCCTGCGATGTAAACTACTACTATTTTTGTTTTACCAACTAAGGCCCACTGAGCTATATGGCTCTTTTTCAGAAGCGACCTGGCCACAAATGATAGCTCAATGAAGTGGCTTATCATGTGGAAATGTATTGCAGCCAAATACTCTAAACGCATGTTTCTGAATGTGGAGGGAAAAACCAGAGACCCGGAGAAAAATCCACGTGACCGCAGGGAGTCAGGGTCAGGATCGAACCCAGGGTCAGGATCTAGTTTAGACATCTCTCCACCACCTGCCAAATGACTAACTGGGAGTGCACCCATTCGTACTCCTGCATAGACAGAGGTGTAGGGATTTAAGAATCTTGCCACATTTTAACTGCTGCTGCACCAGGAGATCGAACCGGTGACCGCTACATTGCAAGCCCAGTGTGTTTATCATTGCACTGTGGTAGAATTATGTGCGTACTGTAGGTAGCTTTACAATAGTATTAAATAGCTGATTAGTGGAATAAAGTATATAGATAATTATTATTGAGAAAATCCACCAACTATTCCAAAAGGTGGAGGTTTGTATTGTTTGTTATTTTACAATGAATACCTCAGAATAATTTTTTATATTTCTCTCAAGTAAAAATATTTTGCTTTTTAATTCCTGCAGTATTGAATGAATTGGCCATTTATACGTAATATATGAACATATACTTAGACTATATTAATGTATTTTTATATTCAAATAAGTTATTACATTTGACCGTTCAATGATAAATCTTTGAATGTTACATTTATGTTTAAAGCAGCACAGGTAGAAATGCAGCTTGGTGGCATTCTTAATGAGGGAAAATAATCTTCAAGTCCGCAACCCTGAGTCCAACACTCCAAACAGCTCCTATCTTTCTCTTGCAGAATTTCTTCATAACACCAATACTTTGA